CTGATTGAGAGGTGCATCACAGATCCCATAACAGGACTCAGTTTATTCCCACTGCACAAAATAAGTTCAGGCAATGCAAGTAACAAGTAAACAAGTAACAATGGTAACTAGCATTGTTTCCTTTTTCCTGCAGCGAGTTTCATCCGGTCCCTCCAGGCAGGTAAAAATTGCTCTAAGGAGGAACACTGTTGGCTTGTGCTGCCATGTGTTAGCTTGGAGGCAGAAACTTTAAATCAGGAACGAGGTGTCGCAGCGAGCTAAGCTTGGGTCATTAACAGACAGAGCGCTAAAATAAATGATGCCACGTTCGCACAGAGCCTGCGAGGCTTCAGATTCAGACTTAGTTCATTCATTGTTTGCATCTTGGGCTGAAACTCTGTTTTATGGTAAATACTGAATTTTTTGGGGGAATGTTAAGAAAATAACTGTTAAGACAACAATAAAAAAAGATTTACAGAATCTTGGAGGTACCGATTACCTTTATATTTCATCTTTAAAGTTTTAGAAAAATAATGAATATAATCTAAATTTATCAGGGCAACAGTAATCGTACTGACCTGCTGTGACCCCGCGAGGATCACAACGTCCGTTTTTCACTGAGTGGCTGAAAACGTAACGTTTATTTCATCTTTGACTCCACCTGTGAGGAAGCTGGAACAGCTCCACTGTGAAATCAAACTACTTTTATTCTAACTGATCATTTTTTCGAGGGGTTTGTTTGTCCTGATTATCATTTTTGACAGTTTATCTTGTGACTCTTTATCTTCACAGCGATCCGTGTCGTTTTGGACGGATGGTTCTGAAAGTTGTTTTTCCACCTGAAACTCCTGCAGTTACTGTTTACTCTGAATCTTTGGATCTTTCTTTACATCTGGGCAAAGGGTTTTATGTGTCGGGTCAGAAGGGATGTCAACGTTTTATTGAAACAGTCGTTTCTTTTTTTTGTTTTAAGTCTTGAGACCCACTGAACTGGTGGACTGACGTTCTAAAACTTCAGGAACGTTTCTTGTTGTTTCCAAGCTCAGCTCGGCGTCGTCTGAAAATTAATTATTGGTTAATTTAATTTATTAATCAAACTAATTAAATTACATTAACTGAACTTGTGTGTCTATGAATGTAGCGTCCTCTGGTGGACAGGAAGACGATGAGAACATATAAAAACTGAAGATTTATTTTTGTTGGTATAAAGTCAGAAGTTATAAAAACTGCTGATGAACACGAATACCTTCAGATTGGCTGACATCAGTTCACTGTTCTGTTTCAAAATAAAAACTTATTAAAGCTAATACAAACAATCAAAATGCCTTTTCTCTTTTTAAACAAGAGGTTTTAGGTGAAGCGTGTAAAACGTTGGACCAACGTCACTCCAGTTTGTCCAGCAGCTGGTGGATCTCTTCTCGGCCTCGGTAAATTTTCTTCACTCCTCTGGGTAAATAACGGCAGGACGACAGGTTGAGATAATCCAGAGCTGTCGAGTGTCCGACCACCGCCCTGCAGAACGAGTCAGAGCTTTAAACGTCCACCACATTTGTTCTCACGGTACCTTCAAACAGCTACGGAGGAGTAAAACGACGTGTTTAAGGACAAGTAGAGATGAAATGACCTGAAGGAGGAGAACACCCGAGACCAAACTCGGGAAACAAAAACAGTCAAAATATTCTCGTACAACATAAAAAGGTTCAACAAATTTTATGGATTTCACCAAAAACAAACCGATCCTGATGTCAAACAACTGCTGCATCAATAAATCAAACCTGAGCACGAAACAAGCTCAACTTAGTAAAAACATGATTTATAGTTCGGACCACAGAGTTAAAATAAGTAACGTTTACAGATCAAAGGCTGCGTTTGTTCAAAACTAAGAAAATATGTCTTTGATCTTCAGAATAATGATATAATCTTAATCTGAAGTTTTATTGGATTGAAGGTTAATCCATGTTTAGCTTCGGTAGAACTCTGTGGACGTTGTGAAATAATGCTGCTCGGACCAGCTGAGGAACCACTGGACCTCAGAGCGGTGCCCTCACTGCTCCAACCGCGGCGGTGGACACTGCGTCCCCTCTGAAGTCCAGCTACACCTCCCGATGTCTCCACAGAGACACCAACACCGCTGAGGACAGATGACACAGCTTTAAGTCCATCAGGATCCGTGTGTGGTCCAAACATTTACCTGAGAGCCTGAGGGGTGATCCGGGTCCCGCTGAGGTTCAGTGAACGCAGCCTCTCAGGCTCCGCCTCCTGGGTCAGGTAAGTCGTGGCTAACTCCAAGTCTTCCTCGGTGAAGGGCTGGTTAGTGACGTCGAGCTGCTGCAGCGTCCGCCCCCACCTCTGGGTCAGCAGGTGAAGCCCCCGCTTCGTGGACGATGAGCCGAACTGGCTGCAGTACTGACCCCAGAACAGACACTCCAGCTCTGAGAGACAAACAGAACCGGCTGACACCTGGCTGGAGCTCCAAATGTCCCACGGGGACTAAGAAATACGACTCAGCAGCTCCGAGTTTTATCCATCCATCCTCTTTACTCACTTCTTTCTTTTTGGGTCACTGGTGTCCATGTCCAGCAATCACTGTGCGAGAGGCGGGAGACACCTGGACAGGTCTCCAGTCCATCACAGGGACACAGAGACAAATGAGACAAACAACCATTCACTCTCTCTCACACCTAGGGACAATTTAGAGTTACCAATCAGCCTAACATGTTTTTGGTCTGTGGGAGGAAACTGGAGAAAACCTGTGCAGCACGGAAAGACCCCCAGCTGGGATTTGAACCGGCGACCTCACTTGCAGGCAGCAGCCCTACCAACTGAGCCACTGTGCAGCCCCACTTTAGAAGCAAGTTTGTAAAATATTTTTAGGATGTTTAATAAAAACATCATCTAGATAAAAATTCAATTTATAAAAGATCTTTTTATTTTCAGCCAGCACGGTGGAGCAGTGGTACAGTTGCTGCCTCTAAGTGAACAGGTTATCCTGGTTCAAATCCCGGTCCGGGGGCCTTTCTGGGTGGAGTCTGCATGTTCTCTCTGTGCATGCGTGGGTTTTCTCCGGGTACTCCGGTTTCCTCCCACAGACCAAAAACATGCATGTTAGGCTGATTGGTAACTCTAAACTGTCCCCAGGTGTCCCTGTGATGGACTGGAGACCTGTCCAGGTGTCCCTGTGATGGACTGGAGACCTGTCCAGGGTGTCCCTGTGATGGACTGGAGACCTGTCCAGGTGTCCCTGTGATGGACTGGAGACCTGTCCAGGTGTCCCTGTGATGGACTGGAGACCTGTCCAGGTGTCCCTGTGATGGACTGGAGACCTGTCCAGGTGTCCCTTGCCTCTCATACAGTGATAGCTGGACGTGGACACCAGTGACCCCTGCGACCCGAAAATAGGAAGAAGCGGGTAAAGATGATGGATGGATGGATGAATTAAAGAATGGATGGATGAATTAATGGATGGATGGATGGATGAATTAAAGAATGGATGGATGAATTAATGAATGGATGGATGAATTAATGGATGGATGGATGAATTAATGGATGGATG